TGTACATATTAATCCGATAATGAACAAGAAAAAAAAACAAAACCAAAATTAATCAGATTAGTGAATCATAAGCAATTTAAAGTGGTCATCTAAATGAGTGGACATTAGTTTTATTGATGCAATTAGATCAAGAGAGTAATCTATTGATTGAGATAATTGAGAGATTAATCAGAAGAAAAGAAAAATTCTGAATCCATTGAGAATGAAAATGATGATGATAAACATGATTCTGATTCGGATTCCATGATAACTATCGATAAGTTTATTTTTTCACGGTGAAATGATGTTTGTGCGTGTTAACCCAATAGATAAATCGTTCAAGATAAATATTAATAAAAATCTATGGAACTGAATTCTCATGAATTCTCTGAGCTTGAATAATAATAATAAACTCTTAATACAGAAAAACAGTTAAAGAGTAAAGAGTAAAGTTCCAGAGGAAAAAAATATGAATTTAACTTTCTTTCCAATCATATGTTCATACGGGTTTTCATGATTATCATCAGCATGAACGATAGCACCCTGATGATGATGATGAACATGATATTAAAGGGGTGGTAAGAAAATGTGTATACACACATAGAAAAAAAAACGAAAAGTGGTAGAAAAAAATTTCACATTTCCATTCATGGTCCATCAGCTGTGTAACCTTTTACCATGGAAATAGAGAGAAGAATAAAATAAAAATAATAATAATAATAAAAAAGTTCTTACTGAGTCTAGAACTTTGTATCTGGATTTTACTATCTCTGGTTCCAGTTCAATGGTGAAATCATTTTGTCATTTTGTTCCTGGTTTTTTCATTTTCTTCAGTATCTTACTCACACACACAGAATTCATGGGAAATTCTGAAAATAAACTTTTTCGATTACATTAGAATCATAATCAATTGAAATTGTTATTAAATAATAATAACAACCAACCAACAACAATAAGCAACACTACAAGGTAAGGAATCATTGTCACAGAATTTTGAGAATTCGGAAAATTTTCGAGAAAAAAATGTTCTAACAGAACTTTTTTCTCTTGTTCCATTCTAATTTCTTTATCTTCTACTCCATGAAATAACACTATTGCCGTGTAATTGAATTGAATTGCAACAATCTATCATCATCATCACCAACACCAACATCATGATATCAATTTCCAATGAATAATCATTAATGATATTTGAATATTAATCAAACTGGTGGAGATAATTTTTCATCTTTCATGGTTTATATTAATTTCTCAATGACACCATGGTGATCATCATTTTAGATACAATAAATAGACATTGTATTCAGAATGTATCATTATAATTCATGATAGAAAAATATATATTATTAAGGATAACAATGTGTAACCCATGAATATTGAATCAACTATTTCACCTGAATTCGTGATGATGACAAAAGGTGATCTCGAACCTTTTTTTTATGTCCAAAACAAAATGACAGGTTAATCCAATGGTCAATCTTTATGATGGTCAACTTTTGCTGATTGTATTTCCATCTATCATTATCTTCTTGTCCATCATCATCATGGTAAGGTATTATTATTATTATCACTGAACATTGACTTTCCTCTGATTGATCAGAATTCAACTTAATCGGCTCATCATGTTTTCATCTGCTTTTGTTTTAGTTGTCGTTTTTTTTTGATTGTAGCTCATTCTGATTAATACATGATACTAATGACGATAATGCTGATGCCTGTTAATCATCATCATCATCAGATTAAACGTAATCAACCAACCATTTAACCAATCATATGCTAATTAACAAGGTTATCCAACAATTTTCCCTTCATTCTCATTCTTGAACTCTCATAATTCAGTGTCATCATTATCACGATGTTCTGGTGAATGAACCAGAATTCACACTGACATATCCAGAGATAAATACGATAAATAGTCCAAAGATTATATTTTTCGATGTCAATAAGTAACCGAAAGGACAATCATTCTGAGAGATAATTTCCTGTTAATCAACCATTGAAAATTTGAATATTAATCATGGACAAAGTTTGAAGACGATTAATATTAAAATTGTGAACCTCTATTCAGTGTTAATTTAATCAATAACTTTGATATGATCACAAACTTTAACAAATGAAGCTTAAGTATCATCATGATGATCATCATGACATGAGATGATGTGACAAATATAAATATCACATGAACATGATAATTAATGATTCGTGTCTGCTGACTTTGTTTATCCTCTCATCATCCTTATCTTTGTTGACTCAAGGTATTATCATGATCATATCATGGATAGATTCAGATTCATCTCATGAAAAACCAGATCAAATCATCACAATTGAAGCAAAATTATAAACACATTAGTCTTTACATGTAGGAGTTAATAAAATTATTATTGTAACAATAATCATCTTGATGATGAAAATGTATTAATAATAATCATCATCATCAGCATCTTCCTGTAGTCATTGTCTTCCCTTTTGAATATGAGTGAAAAAAAAATCATCAACAACTGAACATTAATGAACTAATAATGTTTACTTGACAATAGACTCTGATGATGCGGACAATGATAATATGATGATGATGATTCTCATGGTGATGGTGAAAAGGATGAATAGTAAAACTGAAACAGGAAGATGAAAATCAGAATCAAAAGATTGCATAAGAATATCAATAGATTAGTGTGTTAATTAATGGGCATCAATTGTTATTCCAATGGACATTATTATCTGGTATCATCATCATCTTCATTTAATGATGATGAAAAGTGATGATAATTAGAATTAAATTTTAGATCAATAATTTTGTATATGTACAGTTAATTGTGGAAAGTTTTTGTCAATTAAAATTTTGGGATGACAGTTGATTAATATGATAACATAATTATCATGTTCAATAGAGGAGATTCAAGAACCAAAAGGTAATCAAGGGTGAAAGAGTGAAAAATGTCACCATGAATAGTTATTCTTAGAACTGAAACTTTTACAGAATGAGGAAGTTACTTGATAATAAATTAAGACAATGAGAATGCGGTGAGAGAAGAAATTTTAATATGATGATGAGGAAGATGAATTATTCGAGATGATGATGATTGGAATGAAATGGAACATATATTTATATATAAATATAAAGTTCGTAAGAAGATGAGAGAAAGAATTTTCTTTTTTGTTCATGGAACTTTGGATTGTATTTGATTCTCTTTGATTTTTCCTTTTGGAATTCGTGTTTGATTATCTATTAATATCAGAATGAGCGAGAGATTATAATCAAATTGAGTTAAAGATGAGAAAAGATTATGACAAATAATCTGAAAGCTTATTAACACAATAGATTGAGGAAGAACAAGGAAGCTGAAAGGTGGGAGTGAATAAGGTAAAAGACTAACGAAAAAGTAAATAACTAGTTGTTCATCTTTCTCAGTGTATTTTGTTGAACATCATCATCATCACCATGTAGCTAAGGTGGAAAATGACGATTAGAGGAAAAGGGTGGGCAAGTAGGAGGATCAGTGGGATGAAGAAGGGAGAAGGTGAAAATTTTTAGTAAAACATGAAAACTCAACTGGATCAACACCATTAAGAGACATTAGATTGGAACGGAAAAGTATGAGAACCCAGAAATCGAGGTGGATGGAGAGAGAGAGAGATGAAGATAAAGTTGATGACATGGAGCATAGATAATGTAATAAAGAAAAAGAGAGCGAGTGAGAGAGAGGCTGATGAGTGAGATAGGAAGTAAGATGAATCAAGAAATTGAGAGTATGATGATGAGGAAGATAAGAATGACCATGTAACAATAATTTTCTTGCTACTTAAGATTCTGAGTCGCAACTTTCTTATGGTTGTGTAAGTTGTAAGGTGAAGATGATGATGATGAAAAAGATACTTTTGATGTACTCAAGATAAAGATGATAATGATGATGAGGTAAAGTAGGTGGAGGAGGAAGAGGAGACAACAATCAAATTGTTTTCGCTTCGAGTATTTTACCTTTCGTTCAAAATTTCAATGTTCATGGTGAGAAAATAAAAGAAAAATGAAACATGATGAAAAAGAGAGAGAAAAAAAATTCTCTTTTCTCTAACCACAGAATCATTTTCTTTTTACCCTCTATTCCACTTGGTGGAGATATTATATATTATTAATAATATCATAATAGAATTATAAAATTATCATTATTATCTATGAAATAATAATAATATTTCCGAAGACTATTAAAGTAAAGGTCAATATAATCTATGGTCAAAATTTTTCTTCTCCATGGTTACTTAATATTTATCAATATCGAAACCAAGAAAGTTTTATTTTCATCTTCTAAATTCTCTCTCTCTTTTCTACCAGAATTCCAAGGAAAATGCTTCTTGTAATATTCCTTAAATCCTCGATTGTTTCTCACTAAGGTTTTCTTTCTGTGGTCAATCATGAAAATGAATTCGATTTCCCTGATAAATATGAACCATAATAAACCACAAACTTTTTAATATTCTCATGGATATTAAATATTAGCTCGAAACCTTCTTAATTCAGGATATTAGATGAAACTTACAGAATTTGAATGAACTTGTATTATTAATAAGTCGAGCTAGAAATTTAATGTACATTGAAATGTTTTTATTATATACAAAAAAGTTCTCGATTCAGTTGTAGATGAAAATTATCATGAATGATCATGTTAATGGATAATCATTCATTTGTATGTCATCTTAAAAGTGAAAGGTAAATCATATCAAGACACTTATTAAATTAAAGTTCAATATGTTTAAAGTTAATCATAAACAATAAGAAATGTTTAACTTAATGTTCAAAACGTTAAACTGTTCATGATAATTTCTCATGAATTTCTTGTGATCAATTGAAATTGAATCAAGTTAAAAAGCCTTCAAGGTTTTCAATCAATTAACGTTAATTAAGTTTAAGTTGATTATTAGTATTGAATTAAATGGATGATGAAATGAAATGTTGATCAAATTTAATCATCATTCAGAGGATGTTGATTGTTACCCAATTATAATTATTACATTTACTAGCTGCTTACTTTTGTCATAATTGTGTTTCCGGGTTTCAAAATTATATCCAAATAGTTGATTGTATGAAGATAAAGTCACTGATGGTGTTGATGAAAATGAAGGTGACGAAAATTGTAAATAAGATGATGAGGTCAATGGAGTCAAAGGTTGATCATTGGGGAGCCTTGGAATCCATTTGAATTGATTAGCTGAACAATTAGATGTCAAATAATAAAAAATGGCCAACACAATATTGTAATTAGCGGTTAACATAGTGAAACTTTTCAATGAAAATAACAATCTAATTGTTGAGTGACAATCTAATTACTGATAATACAATTTTTTCTGTATTCTTTAAACTTAATCATATTGAAACTACGAAACAAACATGATGATGACAATAAAAGATGAATGAAAGACATAATGTTACTTTTTATCTCCTTGGAACTATTGATAAGTTTTCGAAACAGTTTCGAAAAAAGTTCACGTTCTTGTCGTTTGATTACGTAAAGACTCATATGAAAACCAATGAAGATCAACGTTGTTAGAGTTTGGGAGATGAAGAAAGAGGAGATTGTGAAGAAACATGAGCAGATATTATTCCATGAAGATTTCTATGAATTCTGATTAATACTCAGAGTAAAGTTCTGAGTAGTTGCGTATTGAGTCAATTCAATTTTCGATCATCGGTTTGTAAAGTGATTACTAAATTACTTACGTTTACATCAAAATTGAGTAGGTGGTTACTAAAAGTCAACTCAATTATTGACGATAATTGAACAATCAACATTTATCTCCAATAAATTAATTCTTTATTCAATTTTCATTGGAAACAAATCTAAAATCAATCATTTTCAATTCGAAATTTTTATTAGTAAACCAGTCAAGTTATCAGAATTTACTGAGACCATGACCTTGATCTCAGTTAATTATGTCGAGCACCAAATCCATGACTGACTAATGAACATTGGTTCGAACTTTTTTATTTCGATTTTTTCGATTTACGCGGTTCGAGTCAACTTATTCTCCTTCTTTGTTTAACTCTACAGCCATCTATTGGTTGGAACTTTTAGTTTTTCCTTTCGATATAAAAAAACTTTCGATAATTTCTAAAAAGTTCTAACCAATAGATGGCTCCAGATGATCGAAAGTAACCATCAACATCTTCGAACTACTTTTCAATGGCCAAAACTAGATGGCGATCAGGGGATTGGAATAAAGAAGAGAAAAAGTTTGGTCCTATTTTCTACGAACTTTAATATTGACAATTATGTGATAATATGTTATAAACAAATTTCGATTTCGAAATTTTCAATGGACCATTTCCATTTCGAACTCAAGCTTGAAGGTAACCATAATAATACGGTGATTTCGATTTGTGAGATAATTTTAATAGAACACAGTAAATGATTGATAGTAGTGAGACCAGAGTTGAAAAGACAATCGATTCGACTTTAAATTCGGACTGATGCTTGAAGAGACTGAACAGGAATCCGATAACCGATGAGAATGCAAAAAATAAGGAGATAAATTGATCTTCCGATATGATCGATATAAAACCGATTGCAAGGTAAACCAGGGTAAGAGCAGAATTAATCTGGAAAAGTTCAATTTGAATATCGAGTTGACTTGAAATTGGATTTAGAACTCTGGGAATTGGTTCGTAAACATCAACGATCGATGTTGATGAACTAATTGTTGATGGATCAACATTGGATTTGGTGGCTAATGAGTTAATCCATTCATCTTGATTAAATAAGAAAACACAAATTATTGTAAGCAGGTAAAGCGATGAGAGTAACAAAATGATTAACAGAGTGTATTTGATTAAATTGAGAAACATTGATGAACAATTAGCTGATTGTTGCCTTGATGAGGCGAGGTAATCACCTAAATCCATTATGGTTAACTAAATCAACTGAACAATTTGAAAAAAAATTCTCATCTGAGTCTATTTCTGTATCTCAATTATTTGATTAACTTTTTCTACTATCTAATCAATCATTCTGGTTAATTGTTAATCTTTAGGTTTAATTGTTCACATCATTTTGATAATAATTAAGTTATCACAATCTAATTGTTTCCAAACTTGTTACTTGTTGATAATTATCATTGAAACACAATCAATGTGATAAGATTATGTCATTCATATGATTGATAAACTTTAATTGTTAGTTTTTTTTATTTGTTTCATCTTGTTAATTGTGATCGATTTTTAATTCAGTTACTTAATTTGATTGTGATGAGTGGTTTTCCTTTTTGTATTTACTTAACAAGTTTCAATTGTTGTCTAACAATTAACTATTAAATGGTTATGTGAAACTTGAAGAGGTTATGAACTGTTTATGTTTTTTTTATTGTCTCGAATTAAACAATTAACTAATTGTTAACCATAAAAATAAGTGTTAATCACAATTGAAAAATTAATTATCTTTACAAGTGGTTTGTTGTTGTGATCAGTTTAAGACAATCATTTCAATTGTGATCTAAACCTTGATAAACAAAAGGATGTAAACAATTTGCTAATTGTATTAATTGTAATCGAAACCTTTAAATTGATTATAATCATCAACACTTAATTGTCAAGTGTCATTGATTATTAAGCTATTTCACCACGAAGAAAACTTTTCAGAACTTTTTTTTTCTTTCTCTCCTTTAGAACTTTCGATTTGATGGAGAAAAAGAAATAAACTGACCACTGAACTTTATGAATTTACGAATGAAAAAAAAGAATAGAAAAAGTTAATCATGAAATGGACATTGTTCCCTGGTAATCTACTGGACATAAGACATTTTCCATTCTTGGGATTAGATTTGATTGAGCACATTGTCCATCTCGATTGGTCAATTGTTCTGGTCAAACAGAAACAAGATGGATATGATTTGATTATATTGTAGTTAATTTAATGGTGACATTATTATAATTCACAAGGAAATTGATCAAGCCCATAATTGTCATCATCATCATGGTCATCGAGAGTAGGTCAAATCTATTGGACACACAAATGAGTTTTTTATTATTTGGACATTTACTTAGTGATTTTTTTTATATTTGTTGATTGATTTCTTATGGTCAACTGGTCATCAAGATCATGATTGGTAAAAGATTGATGATCAACAATCAACAACATGTTGTTGACTTTTTGTCAATGTCAAACAAACTTAAATAATCTGTAAAGTTATTAATACACTTATGAGATTTTCATTTTAATAATTAAATTGCTAAGAATTAATTTAGTTTAACTATTTGATTCATTTAATCAAATTATCAAATGGCAAGTGATTAACAATTTTAATACAACAAAACAATTAACAAGAAAATTTGACAAAATCTGTTCAAAGTTTGTTTAACAATTGAGTTGATAAATTTTTCCCGCCATAAGTTAATTAGTAATAGTAATTAATCAATACAATTTTGTACAAATTTAAACTGGTTTACATGATTGATGATATCGATTTCTAATTAATTGTCAATCAAACTAATTATTGGGCAAAATTGTGCATTTTTCTTGTTACGTGATTAACAATCAAAAAAAAAAATTTCGTAGTTACATTTTTACAGTTAATCTTTTTGTACATAATTAGTGAACAATTGAAACTTTTAGATTTAATTTAATTACAATTGAATAAATTTTCTGGTTTAATTATAACCACTCCCCTAGTCAGGAGTTTGTATTGATTGAATTTAAATGTCCATCCTTAGTGTTAAGGTTATTTGAATGGCCTATTGATGAAATATTATTATCCGGATATGAGATTATCGGTGAAGTTTGAGTTTGGCTATGAACTTTTTCCGGTTGACAATCATGATTATTATTATTACGATGACGATGTAACATCTCTGTCTCTGAAATGGACAAGAAAAAAAGTTCAATGAATCAAAACAGAAAGAAAGAAAAGATTACTAAATCGAAAAGGTTAATTAGTTTCATGATATTCAAGATTCATGACTCATAATTTTAGGAAATAAAATTCATCATTAATCATGTTGACCGTTATTTTATCTTACTAAGAAATGGACAATATTCATAATCTAACTGAGCTGTTGAGCATTTAGCCATTGAAAGGCTCATCTTAATGATTAAATGCTTGGAATTGATCAATATCCTGGTAAAGAAGATGAGAGATTTTTAATTTAATCTCAATTTATACTTAATACCAATGCTAATACAAGTCTTTTAATCCGATTTATTAAATTTAAGTCAAGTTTAACCTACTTACTAAGTACCCTGAATGTTGGGTGTTGGATATTGGTGATGGTGGTCAATGGTCAGTTTAACCATAAATGTAAACAGAAAATTTCTGAGTGAACATTTTTGTATCTCAAAGTGAATTCAAGAACTTTTTTTCCCTGTGATTTATATTGATGATCAAATAGATTCTCATTGATATTTTGTTAGAGGAAAAAAATTCTCTTTCAACTTTGGATATTAAATATTCATGATAAATGGTCAAGAAATGTAAATAATATAATGTCCAGCAAGTAGTTTGCATGATTATCAATCTCTTTTTTTTTATTCTGAATAAATGAAAAAATTATATTTCCACATACAGAACATGATTGACATAACAATCAGCTGATTTGTTAAATTGATCCCTAAAAGTAATAATAGTAATTGAAAAGTAAACCTTTCACTATTCAAAAGGGATATCCATTAATTGTTCACAATTAAAGGATATTGATTAAGCTTTTAAGCTTCGCTAATCTCATTTTTATCTCAACTAATCAACGTAATGAACAAATTTGATTAACTTGACAAAATGAAAGAAAAATAATCAAAACTGATGAGGGTAAAACAACAAGAAAAGATTTCTAGGCTAATTATATTGCTGAATGTTGCTGTTAATCAACAACAATCAAGGAACAATTTACCAGTAAGATGGATAATGATTATCTTAATTGTTTGAAAGTCACCAAATAGGAAATGATTACTGGTGTTTTATTACCGAAGCAAATTTTTTCCTCAGATTAAGTTTCCAGTTTTTCTGAGAAAACTTTTTCCTGGTAAAGTTTTCGGGTTAATTTTGCTTTCCTGTCTTTAATGTTGCTCTCAATTGAATCTCTATGTCATCATTTTTGTATTATAATGACAACAATTAACTCATCTAGTGAGAATCATTATCACGATTACATGAGGTTTTTCATGGTTATCATCATGTTGTCTCTCATGAGTCTCAATGGTTATGATGTTAGACAGAAAATGATTCAACCTTATCCAAAAGTCTTACGGCAATTAAATATTAATAATACATGATCATCATCATCGTCAACTTGATCGTAATCAACTTGATCATTTTATGTTTAAATCACAAGGATAAGGCAATTCTATTGTAAAATGATGTCCATGTGTTGTCGTGCTGTTAGTTGAGCTGTAGACTCTCTCGGTGTGGATGATGACAGGAAATCATTAGAAACACAGGGAGGTGGGAGTAATTGGAAGCTAAAACTATTACCACCTTCTTCCTGGTGGGAGTGGGTTTTTTTTTGTTTTCACTTCATCTTGGGACAAAAGCACAATTGGAATCCAAAGTGTTTTTCTGATAGTTTCATGGGGAAATTCAGTTAATCACACCAAGAGATTATCATCACCTTCTCTCATTGAACAGGGTGAAAGGTTGATGCTATGGCGAATCGCAAGTTGTAATTTCAGTTGATAATCTTTAAGATCTAAATCTTTGGTAAAAGTATTAATGAGACAAGAAGCACTTTCAACTGAATCGTAATTTGCTTGACCATTGTCCACCTTTACCGTTCTTTCACTTAATCATCATTGGTCATCATTCAAAAAACTTTGATTATCTAAATCTGATTAAATTGATTGTGAAAAAAGTTGCAAATTTCGTGTTTTTTTTGTTCTTTTACCAAAATCATTATCAACTGATTGTTAATCTAAATTATTCATCTTTGTCTTTTTTAATCCAACAATTAAGTAGGTTGATTGAAAAACACATGAAGATAATGTCACAAAGGCACTCAAGTTTAATGGTTAAATCATGTTAGTTATTTACCATTTGAGATTTAGTTTTCCCGCCTTTCATATAATCACAATAGATGAAAATTAAATTAAGACAAATGCTTTAATTATTTACAAATCTTAATCAATAATCATTAACCTTTCAGAGTGTATCCTAAACAGCAACGATTAGACAATCAAATATAATCATGAATGGTAAGTTTATATTATTATAATATTACAATTTATATGTTTGAAAAGTTTACAGATTTTGACAATTATTGCAATTAAATGAAATCAATTTTGATTGTTAATACTGATTGTATTTCAAATCTAATTGTAGACTAAATAAAATTGATATTTGAACATTACATTGTATTATGCTGATTGCAGTGATCATTTAAACTGATCACTTTCAAATTGTTCCCGATATCATAATGATTTAAGTTAATTGAAAACTTTTACACTCGAGATTCAATCATAGGATTGGATTGATTTGTTTTAACAACTTAACGAGAAAAAAAAACAATTAGTTTCTAAACTAATTGCAAATTGATTGTGATTAAAATTAGCAAGTTGACTTACGATTGAATTTAAATTGCTTTCGACAACTTGAGCTGATTGATTGTTTCAATTGATTTGTAAGAAAATAAGACTACAGAATTAGCAGAAATTTGAATATATACAAACTCGTTCATTGCAAACTCAGGTTACCTGAAAATTTCCTCATGATGACCCATCAGAATCATCTGAGAGTTTGAAATTGTCAATAACTAGATTCGTAAAATAATATTAGTTGGACATTTTCAGTAAATTAAAGTTGACCCTTTGAAAATCAATGGGAAATTGTTTCCTGTTGATCAAATTGATTCAAGTCTAAATTGTACAAAGATTCATTGATTGCAATTATTGGTAATGTAATATAAGTTGTAAACAATTTACTAAATTGTTTAACCTTGTCAAGAGCACAAAGAAAACTGCAACTTGTTTATTGTCCAGTTTATTTGGTCAATGGTCAAAAAAAGGGGAGAGAGAGAGAGAGAGAGAGAGAGTTTATTTTAGAAACTAAAATGACACGAACTGAATTGAAAAGGTATTCAGACTTATATAATATCTTTATGTGAAAAAAACGTCAAGTTAAATGGTCAGTGGGTAAGATGAATAGTGACCATGATTAAGAGTATATAACATGATGATGATAATAATGATGAAAAAGTTACAAAAGGGAAACGGAAACTTTTCTAGATTGATGATGATCAAGATGTAATATCTTTGTAAGAGCAACTTTCTGATGGTCAACTGATTTGCAATCCATCAATCAAGGTCAAGATGTTGAGATCCATTGATCAATGAACAATAGAAAAAATTTACTACAATCAAAACAATCAATCAAAACATTAAAAAAATGAATGAAAAACAAGAAGTTTTCACTTGTATCAATTACTATGAACTTTACATATAAAACTCAGATTTACTCAAAGGATTAATTTCTAGGTGGGATAGAGTGAGATTGATTCAGTTTGAAATGACAGTCAGATTAACTGGAAAATTGATTAGCAATCAAAAGTTAATTACAATTTGCAAAGTCAAACTGGCTAAATAAGTGATTTAATGCAATAAATATCTTCAATCAACTTATACACTCCTCATGATATTAGTTGAATTGGTTATCCTGATTCAGGATAATTGTGATAATAAACATGATGTTAATTATCCCTTGGTAAACATTATTATATCCACAATGGTAAGAGAATGGGATTAATTTAATCTCACCTTTAATTTGTGGGCTTAAAATTATCCTTAAAATAGTAACGGTAAATATTATTCACTAGCAATTATATCAAGTTAACAATCACCTTATTAACCAAGAAATACAGTTGAACATGATAACTTTTAAGATGGAAAAGGATAATTACAGTTTAGAAAAGGAAAAGTTTTATATATCGAAAGTATTAACAAGAAAAGTTTCGATTAGAACTTTTTTTCTGCTACTCTTGTCTTTCTTTCTTTCTTTCTTTCTTTTTGGGTTAATTAATTTTCGATTCTCATCTTAATTACATATTCATTATTCTTATCATCATGTAAATATAAACATACTCATGGTGATCACTATTTACCAATGAAAGAAGGGAAAGTTCTGATTTCTCATGAGAGATTATCTTCAAATAAAAGTAATAAAAAGGTAGAAAAACAAAAATTTTCTTCTCTTGGAATTATAATTATTATTCTGAAAATTTCTTCCCCATGCTACCTGAGATACCTTGAGAAATTGAGAGAGAGATTTAGATCCAGGGAAATAATAATAATAATTTAGCCCACGATATTTATTACAGTGAAACCGTTTCAATAGTTATCAATGTAAATGTCAATCGTATTAATAATTTTCCTGTTGCTACTGAAAATAATTAATATAATAACTGGAAACCTAATTAGCAGAAGAGGAAAAGAAAATATAATGACTAGATTACTCAATTTACATGAAAGTGAGTTAGTTCATGATGATTTCAATGAATACATTATTTACTATGAAACAATAGGAGGAAATTAGTAAGAAAACTAAGAAATTGAAAGTAATTCCCTCAAGGTGGGATTTCTTGTCTTTACTTTTTTTTTGTTAATTTAAAAATAACCTGAAGATATTATTATGAAATTAGATTATGTAAATATTATATTAGTATCATGAATCATGAATTTCTATTGGTAATGAGTTTATTTATATAAGAAATAAATATTATATAACTTTTTCTGTTTTGTTTTTACCTTCGGATTGTGTTGCTGATTCCATGCGACCAGAGGAGGTGCAGGTAATCAGGGTGGGAGGTGGATTGGCCTTGGTGGTTCCATATTTGTTATAAGGCATCATTGATTGTCGAATATTTTTCTCCGGGTGAAGGAGGATAATGTACAGTTTGGGTGAGAAAAGACAGGCCACTGCAATGGTTGCCGAACAGTTGATTGAATAGGAAAGAGTGGTAATGTTGAGGGTAATATCTTGTCGGGTGGTAAAATAGATTGGGATAAATGCTATCCAGATAACGCAGGTTGTATACATGGTGAATCCAATGTATTTAGATTCATTGAAAGCTTCAGGTATTTTTCGGGTTAAAACCGCGTAAACGGTACAAACAAAGATCAATATAAATGGATAAGCAAATGCTAGGAAAAAGTCAACCGATTCATTTGAAGAGCAGATTATCAGATTATCTTCACGGGTTGGGTAAGTGTGAACCGCTCTTGGTGGGTGAAAGGCAAACCAGAGAAGGGTAATGATAACCTGGACAAAGATCATGAAAACGCAGATACACAATTGCGATTGTGGGCTGATGAAAGATGGACGTTGAGCGGATTTTTTACCAGCATCAAAGATTCGGGCAATTCTATTGGTTTTTGTTAAAAGGGAAGAGTAAACCATTGAGAAGGAGCAACCGATCATTGTTTGAATGGAACCACAGACAAAATTGGTTGGTCGAAGCATAAGTAGATAGGTTATCGAATAGCAAAGTAAAAGTCCAGCTAAAAGGACAAATGAAAGTTCACGACCTGATGCTCGGACTATCGGTGTATCTTTATATTTAATGAAAATACATATTATCCATAGGACGGTTAATACTCCGGTTGAGCTAAAGGTTATGGCACCAATTACCAGGGAGGAATTGATGTTAACATAATCTTCTGGTATTGGTAAGCATATTGATTGAGTTTCATCGGGTAAAAATCCATTGGCACAATTGTAACACTCGGTTTCACTTAAGAGAACCTGATATTTACCACAATCTGAACAATGCCAGCAACACTTTTCACCGTCAATATATTTCTTTGCTTGACCTTTCTCACAGGGTGGACTACAAACGGATAACGGTATACCTGGAGATTCATCGGTAAAACGAACCGATTCCATATTTAGATTGAGAATTCCATCTTGATATTTACCCACTTTAACCCAAGCCCATGAATCTTTCCCTGTTCGTTTAAAGTGTAAAATATTGTACCTTATGGGTCCATTTTGATTCTCACTGAAACGAAACTGATCACCCGAAAGTCCTAAAAGAAAACAGATTTGATATTAATGTAAACGAAATTAGAATGTATCTCATTTTACTTGCAAATTGGAAATTGGAAAATTTCATTACCTGTAAACTGAACCTTCTTCAAGTATTCTAATAGTACATCACCATCATTGATATTCATCTCACCACAGATTCCCGATTTACCTCCACATCTCTCTTGGTGCATCTCTCGAAGTGCATAACCAAACACCAGAACTGCATCACTTACGAACTGTAATTGTCTCTCAGATTGATAACCATTAGAATAGCTCATTCGCTCTTCCCCTGTACAAAAACTTATTTCATGAAGGGAAAGAAAAATAAGAATAAAATAAAAAACTTATTATTATTCGAACAATTAACCCAAACAATCAACTAATTGTATTTTCTTTCGTTACAAATGACTAACATAATGAAAGAAACTCAGACAGCAATTAATTAACTTTCTAATCTTATATAACTTATATAACTTTTTATCCATTATTAATCACCTTACCACCTACACCCAAACAATTAACCCGCTAATCATTAATTAATTAACTTAATAAAACACCAAGATTAACCTACTCTCTGTCTCTCTCTCTCAGTTAATTAATATGAAATGTAATTTTACATAATACAAATGGTACAATGATTAAAACTAATACGCTAATTGTTAATGATCAAAGTAAATTGTTCATTAATCATCTTTACTCATTCATTATCAACTTTACAGGATAAAAATAATCAAACTTCCGTTTCCTTGTTACCAGAATGATTATTTATTGGATTACAAACTTTTGTAATTATTTTTTTTACTGCTTTTCTTAATCAAAACTTGATCAACATTCACTTTAGATGAAAACTTTTCAATTCTTTCAATGAGATGACAAGTTGAATGTTAATCAAATGTTTTAGCATTGAAATTTCCGGTTCAGAATTCAATTGTTTTATATAATATAATATGGTAATAATAAGAACAACGAATAATAATAGAGTTTAAAAAAAATCGAATTTTGGAAAATTCGAAAAACAGTTATTTTTTCCTCTCTCTCTCTCTCTCTCTTTTCACTTACCTGTCATATTCTTGATTAAATGGAGTAATTTGACTGTTATTCCATTTACACCTAAAATAATGTTCCCAGAATTCAATAAACCAGGGATTTCGTTTATTATTTTTAGGTGTAAGGCTTAAAAAGTAATCATCGAATCCGTAAACCGGATTAGCCATTGGCTGAATGGACAATGTCCCCTCGACCTCATGCTCATTACCATCATAAACAAGAGCTCGAGCTGACCAACCATCCGACCCAATCCATTGGAATCGACCAGTAACATTATTACGTTTAACACTTTGCATAAGATCCTTGACCTCTTGATCTGAGCCAAAAACGACCACACCTTTAATAAGAAAATAATAACAACGATAAACAAATCATTTCTCCCAATTGATTAGATTAATCAAGAATCAATTCAATTAGTGAACACAATACACATTAATATATATATATATACATGTATATCATATCAATAGGAATTAAGGAAACATTTAATATTGATTAATGTTAATGGATTCATATTGGGCTAGACAATCAAGATTGAAATTGATTTGATTACACTGGACAATTGATTATAATCAAACAATTGTCTAAATGTTTTGACATTTGATCACAAATGGTTATATTATATGGAAGATAATTGCATAGATTGTATAACCATTTTATTGGTCATCTTAAGGTCTATTGTCATGTTTACCGTTATTCTCATGTATGAGAAAATTATTCAATCAATTTCATCCTTTTCTCATTTATGTATATTATCATGAATACATTTTACTGTCCACTCCCTTTTTCATCCTCTACTGTCCACTTACCTCTGGCTCTTGGTTTGGCTAATAGTTTATGCAGAATTGAATCATAAACCTTTTCTTGAGCAACACCAGAATCTTTTGGAAGCTTTTCCCTGACAGCGATACAAATGCCATTGGCAGTTAATAAATCATCGAGAACTTCAAAAGCCTAATGACAATTAAAGGTAAAAATAAAAATGGACCAATTAATCAATGGTTGATAACATTTTCCACTCAGTTAATTAAAAGAAACTCACCTTGGCACCATAATTTGATTCTTCGTATAAAACACTCACATAGGTCCAGTTGAGTCGTTGTATTATCTCAACCATTGCTTGAGCTTGATTCTGATCTGAAGGTACAGTTCGTAAAAAGTATTTGAACCTTTCCTTGTTACTCAGTTCAGGGGAAGTTGAGAAGAAACTTATCTACACAAGAGAGAACCCGGAAGTGGATAAGATAAGAAAATAATAATTAGAATTTGAAATATTATTTTAAATAACAATTAGCTTCGAATTGGTGATAGAAAATTTTTTTATTACTTTTTTCTCTATTCACCATTTTTCTGTGTAAATATTATTAATATTTGAAGAAAGATAAATCCATGAACATTTTCACCCATATTTTCATGATAATCTTTATATTATATTCTAAGTGTTTGTGATAATGTTATCTACAGATGAATTATTAATTTAGGTACATGATGCAACTTCCTGTTTCATGGAAGGTGGGAAAAAAATAAAAGCTTCTCTCTCTCTCTTTCTCTCTCTTTCTTTCTTTCTCTTAAAATCCAATCTAATTCATTATATTAATAATATGATACAACGATTATTATTAATATTATCATGATTATATTACCATGAAGATAAATCTTAGTGATGTAATATCATCAAATGTAAAGTATTAAGAAGGTGGGAAGTGGGTGAAGGAGGATGAGGCAGTGTAAAGACAAAAAAGAAACAATCTCAGTCATTGATATTTAAATTCATCGTTAATATCATGATAGTACAATGGAAAAATCTTATTCATGGTTTACTCAGAATTTTATGATCCTCTCTCTTTCTCTCTATCTCTTAAAATATATATCAACATGGTGATTTATTCAAATTGCCCTATTTTCGTCCAATCTGAGAATTTATCATTTTTTTATTATTAAAGAACGAGAGAAATAGGAAGAGAGCAGATTATCTCGGCGGAAGATGAAGATAAACCTACACTTATTCAGAACTTTTTCACCATCAACATCATGTCCTTATGAACAAAGAGTAAAAATATATAACCTTGCTCACTCTGCCAGGAACCAGGAAGATTAACTCTTATCATCATCTTTTACACAACATAAACACACACATAAGACAAAAGGAGTTGACAGTTTGATTGTAACATTATTTTGTAATGACCTGGTCACTATAACATTGAAGATTTTGGTGATGATAAGATAAATTTCATCGAAGGCAAGATAATTATCATCATAAAAATCATCATCATCATGGAAAACTGATCATGAAAAAGGATAAACAGATAGATAGAGAGAGAGAGAGAGAGAGAGAGAGAGAGAGAGAGAGAGAGAGAGAGAGAGAGAGAGATGGGAGATTTTTTTTCTGTTCCATGATGATAACGATAATGATGAGAAGTGAAAAGTTTCAAGAAGAAGAGGAAAATTAAACAAAAGGTTCAACCTTTTACTCTGAATCTTTCACCATGTCCCCATGATAATGATCACACATCTATCATACTTTTTTTCCTCTGGACTCATCTGTCATTCACAGAGTTTCCAATGAATTTTTCTGTCTCTCTACCACCAAACTTTGTCTTCTCATGGTGAGTTTATGCCCATAAGCTTTAGTATATTTGGAGCTTTTTTCACGTTCCATTTTCAATGTTATCTTTTAACTTCATGGTGAGTTTTTTTTCCTCTCTCACTGATTCAATTTCTAAAACGTTCAGCAGAACTTTTTTTTCACTTTTCCATTATAATAATAACATTAAGATAAAACAAGATAACAAGATTTTCATGGTAACTTACTTGAGGTATTCTGAATAGACGGAGTAGATTTGCAACCTGAATTGAGGTAACACTCGAAGCAGCACCAAGAACCCCAGAGATAACCCGTTGTTCCAGGGCCGGGGTTGATCCATCCTTACAAAAATACGTTCCCTCACCAATATTAGATATCGAACCTGGAAAATGAAGGAAACAATCAACATTTGATTAGATAAATTGCTAATTATAAAATGCGATCTCAATCAAGTATCAATTTTAATAGAATCTTTATCACAATCCTAATCAGTAGATTGTTGTTGATTTTAAATTGCAATTTGCTAATCAATTGAGAGACTATTTGAATAGTAAAGGTGAAAATTTAAATAACAATTGAAAAAGGAAAAACAATTAACTCATCTAAACCATTGAGGAATCAGATTAAATTGAAACTTTGTATTCTTATTGTGTTGGTGATAAGAAATTGAAAGATTTTCCATCATGAACAGACACCATGTATTTCTGAGTAACAAATTATTTACCTTTTCCATGTTTATTGGGATAAAATGGACAGAAAAAAAGTTACTGAACATTTCAGTTTATTGCAAGTAGGAATAAAAAAAATGTTCAGTTATGATACATGAGAGACTGTTTAATGTTTTTTGCTGACCAAAGGACAGTCTCAATGAAAACAAATGACCACAATTTCCCAATGTCATGAATCGTAAAGTCAAACATATAGTTTTTTAATATGCTTTTATTTTTAGCTGGTCAATTTGTTTGGAAATTCAAGGAATCAGCAATGTAATCCGATTTCATTACCAACGACTGGAAACTACTATTATCATGTTTCAGGGGGAGAGAGAAAAGTTCCAATTCCTTATCTCATGGTATTCAGACACACTCTCCACATCACGCAATCGAAATCATCAGATACACAAACACGATTTTCATGATAATCAGAATGCTAGTTACATGATTCATTTGCATACAATGAGAATCTAGAGATTGAGTTTGAGCGATGAAAAAAGTTCCAAGTTCAAGAAAATCGGGATAACTTTTATCATGAAACTAATTTACCTTTTCGCTTGTAATATTAAAGGCAAATCGTTCGTGATAAGAACTTATTTGGATTACGAATCAAATTTGAATATTTCTCATCTTTATCGTTTTCTTTTCGATTCCATGATCAACCTTAGGAACTCTCTCTCTCTCTCTCTCTCTCTCTCTCTCGGTCTTTTTTCCAGCAAAAAGAAGTTCCAACTCTTTTCTCATTCTAATCTTCTTAATGGTGATGAAAATTTATCGCTTTCTAATGGTCATTTATCTTGACCATTGGTTATGGACAAGATTTATTTCAATCGCTATCATCAGATGAATATAAATATTTCTCATATATCAATAAAACAAATTATTTATCTCAACGTTTAGATAATGTTTTCCATCAGCTAATCAAAAACAACACCAAATACTCCTGGGGTTATATTTACAATCAACATAATAATCATTGATTACCTTAGGTAATTATCACCCAGACCAAATAAAAGTTTAACTCACAATTTACCTGAGATTATATTTATCAATCATCTTAATGATGGTCAACTTTTCAAACTCATTTCCTTTTAATCTTCACAATTTTAATCTCATCTCTCAACAAACGTTGACACTTCAAGTCTTTTCATCTTATTGATATTTATTATTAACTGATAATCATCAATTAATTACTTAATCCTGCTAGGAAAATATCACCATGAAAATCATGATTGATTGTTTACTCTCATGTGATAATATCTCTGCCCTATTCCAATGGTCATTCATAGACAGAGTCAAAGTTTTCAAAGGGTCAATCTAAAGTCAAATATAATTGTAAACACAATGTGATTACAAATCTTTTATCATTACAATCAAAATGTGACACTGATTATATTTGATTTACTGGTGATGATTAAAAACAAATGAGATTACAATTTACTAAATTGTTGAAGGTTAAATTGAAAGTTATCATGTCCTTTGATTAACCTGTTGGTGATACAATCTGTCCCCTGGTCATTTGATTGTTATTCAAAAGTTATAACCAATTGATGATCAAGTTGACAATTTAAATTGTTGTTAGATTATTATTACAAGTTGTTGAAAAACAATCAACAAAACGATTGATTCAATTGATCAACTTTTCCCTGTTTACTTTTCTAATTGTTTTATACTTTTTTTCCGATTCCTGAAGTAATTTCAACTTGATTAATTAAATTAATTCTCAATAATTGTGCTTAATTTTTAAATTGTTTCGCCGCCATTTCAACTCGATCATGTTATTTTTATTCTCATGCTTACATATTAATACTTTCCAACCAACTGATTGTTTGATCATTTTTAATCAAATTAAATGGACCAAAAATACTTCCATTGATTGTAAGTAACAATTAAACTTAATTAGCTTCTCTCTTTTGTTTTTCTTTCATTACAATTAACTCATATCAATCAAGTGACACAATCAACGTTTAATTAAATTTCTATTCGTGATCTTTTCTAAATAAATTGTTATCTAATTATCGTTTAACTGAAACTAACTCTGCTTGTCAGTTGGAAAAATATCATCAACGATTCTCTCATATTATCTCAGTTCTCTTTGTTGATGAGCAAAATGTTCACCATTGTGATTCTAGAAAAATTTGCATATAAATTCTAGTCTACTGATGTTGAAATTGACGAAATCTTTTAGAACTGTCATTGGATAGCTTTTTTTTTCTAATTCGCCTCAAGGTCACATTGGTCAAGGTTATGAGACTGACTAAACTTTGTATAATATGGATTAGAAATTTTCTCAGGTGATCTGGAATTTTCTTTGAGATAATGACCATTATCGATTCAGATCACGTTCAGGTGATGAGTTGATTGAGTAATCTGACTATTCGAATTGAGGAGAAAAAGAAAAAGTTTTAATCTAATCGACTTGAATGAAAATAATACGAAAAACTTTTATTTTTCTTGAGCAAAAATCGAAATCATGATTTATCATTTAATCTGATTTTGTATCGAAAAGAGAAATGTGATTTTCATGGAATAAGTTATCATGCTATTTTCATCTTATTGATTGTTGATCAATTTCTTTACATTACCTGAGAAAATAGCAAGAGAGAGAGAGCCGTTAATTTTTTTTCTTCTCTAATTCTCAAAGTTTCAATCCAAATTCATATTCGATTTTCATTAAATCAAATCGACTAGAACTTTTTTCTAACAAAATGTTGGAAAACTTAAAGATAAAACTTGATGATAATGATGATACATGAGATTATATCGTTGAATCGTTTTCCTTTTTTTTTCTTCACCTTAATCGGATTGGGAATTAATTTTTTATATTCAATTTAATTAATGAATCATGAACCAGAATCATAGTCCATTACAAGCAATCACATTCATGGATTATCATGATAGTAGTTATTATATGACGATGATAATGATGATGATTAGTAACTGAATCACGTTCATTACTTTATTTGTTTGTTTGTTTCTGATTCTAATAATATTATCGCAATATTGAGGGGTAAGTGGTCAGTTTCTAGTCAATTGCTTATATCAGTTGAATCAATTTTCAAAAAAAAAGATGAAGGACAAAAAAATCGGATAGAGAATGAACAAAATCCTCATGGAAAGAAAATGTTATCACCAATGGAGTAAATTATTCCCTGGATAGAAATTGAAATGAACTTTTTTGCTTCTTCTTCCTCTTTTTTAGATTATTATTACATGAATAAAGGGATTGATCATTTATTTTTTTTTAATATTCCCTCAACTTGACCAGTTGAATCCTGAGTTAATTTAGTTGTTAAGTATTGACCAGTTAATTCAACTGGTTTAATTTCCTGAAAAACTTTATCCCCATTAAACTCTGAGCACAATTACCTCGAAGAAAAATTTTAATTAGTTAAATGGATTAAGAGCAAATCTAATGAGAACATTTAAAAAGATTCATATTGGTGCCATTCAGAGTTTCCTTGAACTTTTTTCCTCTCACTTTCCCTCAGAATTTTAGATATATAAGATTATAATGATTCGGATATTAAAATGGTTACTCATTAGTGGAAAACAATTTCATCGTGTTAATCCTTGTGTTACCATTGATGTAATACTTGTTTTCATCATTAATCCCAATCTCATCCAAAGCTTATTCAGGCAAATTACATGGTGATCCCACTTTCTGATTTGGTTGTAAAACTCAACTGAAGAGAAACAACTGAAAAATTTAGATAATCTTATGATTGTTTTACAATGGATTATGGATCATGATCATCATGGAAACATGAGTTTACCTTTGAAACAATTAGTTGTCACAATTTGTTCTGATACCTGGAAATTTTCTTACGATTGATATTCATTTCAAATGAAGAAGATAAAAAGTATACAACATGCAACAGAAAAATATTCATTTTCTATCGTAATAAAAATCACATTATCGTTTCTCAGAACATGAGATGATTTTCATGGTTTCTTTGGAAAGAACAATTTCTCTCTCTCTCTCTCTCTCTCTCTCTCTCTCTCTCTCTCTCTCTCTATAAAATTGAAAAGTAAAAGAAAAAAAGTTTCAATGATTATTCCAATTGACTTGAGGCGAATCTCAATAAACTTTACATGGAATCTTATCAGAATCGTTCCAACTCCCTCTCACTTTTCAACGAGTCATGAACAAAAAAAAAGTCATTATAACAATGAAAAAAAAGACAAAATTGTAATACTTGAAATAGCTTGAGGCTATTAGTCAGTAAAAGTTCATTATTAAGAATCACGAGGCCAATGTTTTGTTAACATTTTACTTTCAATTTCACCTTGAATCTCATGTGTTTGTAAGTATCATGATAGATTGAAACTGAATTGTTAGCTAATGAAATAAAAGGAGTAAAACTATTGAATCAATGTTACTAAATTAATTAACATCATTTTTGAGATAATCATCATGATTACTAATGAGATCTAATCTTTTTCCCTCCCTTATCATTGTAAACGTTATTACATTTTTATTGATAATAATGAGTTTACAATAAATTATTTAACTCAAGCTGACATTTACCAGAATCTGAATAATCATGATAATATTAATCTCAATCGCTCAATGGTAACATTATTATTATCCTGAAACATAATGAATTAATGATTAAGTGGCAAAGGGGTGAAAACTTATTAGTAATGCAATTAAGCTTGATTACCGCAAATCTTTTTGCCTCTTTTTTTTCTGGTACCTTTTATCATTCTGAAGCTTCATGAGGTATTCATGGTGATAGGAACTTTCATCCTTTCCCTTGAAGCCAAAGGATAAAAAAAGGAAGATTTTTTTTTTCAAATCTATTATGTATCATATTATTATTTCAGTTAATTGTTCAAGAATAATTCATGACCATGAATCCTCACCAACTCTGTTGAATGGTATTTAGGAATAGAAAAGCTTTTCATCAACTTAAATATTTTGAATCTTTTTTTTCCTTTGCAAAAAATATTCCAAATTCATTGAATCTTTCATGATGATATTCAATATGTTTCAATATAAATACTGAGGAAATTGACATTTATTAATAACATTGGAGCAAAAGTTTCATATCATTGTATCATAATATCATTTGCATCTATTCATGATATATATATATAAGAGGATAAACGATTCGGAAAGTTTTTCAGAACTTTCTCTCTCTATCTCTTTTATTTGAGAAAAACTGAAATTCTGAATCTGAATTTTCATCTCCATGAAACTCGATGATAACTCTTTCATCAGATGTGTAAATGTGTATACATTCAATAGCAATTGGATGAATGAATTATGTGTATTTTGTAATCTTAATAAAGTTACACAATATAACAATCATTCGAGTTTCATTTTCATGATAATCTGAATATCATCATTCACTCCCATCGTCATCCCCTGAATTCCAATTCTCTCTCACCCTACACCATCACCACCTGAACTTGACAAGTTTATCATGTTGCTTGACAACCTGACAATCAACTACTCATGACTACTTGGATCATCATGTATCATTGAATTCTACACTGCTACAAGTAATATTTATTCAGAACAAAATATTATTTTCACCGTGTAAGTGTAAAAAAAAAGTTCTAATGTCCAAAAGCTATGATATTATTGTATTTTCCACTTGTAGAATTTCAATACAAATGTTATCACTTTTTTTTTTGCTCACTTTTCTCCCTCTTTTTACTGTTCAGTTTCAATAGATGACAAAATGTCGATTCAGTTGACTTATCATGATGATGATAACACACCCACTCCACATCCCCAACCTTGTCTGTCTGAACAATAATAATGAACTTTTCCTCATAAACGAAAATGGTTACATCAATAATGGTCTGATATTGAATGTCTACATATCAATTATTAATTGATTCCAATGTATATCAATAACTTTCATGATGATCACTGATTATGTTATATGAAAAAACAAACTATTCAATTGAAAACAATTAGTTTTATCCAGTAGATTATTGTTTTTAATAATATTATTTATCGTGCATCTATTGTTGATTTTCATGATTATCCTTTTCTTGTTGATTGTTTTTTATTACTTTACTTGTGATTATTATTATGGTTATTGTTTAGAAACAATTTCGTTGACAAAATATTACAACAAACAATTGGTTGATTTGTAATTCAAAAAAAAGCTCAATCAAAATAATCAACTTTCTGGTTCATGGGAGCTTAAAGATTAGAACTTTGGAAAAGGAAAAAACTTTTGGACAAACAAACGAAATGTTTACTAGTATTATAAACACATCCATCATCATATCGTCGAGATTGAATTGAAATTTTATCAATTCTGTTATCATAATATAATAGGTTATATCTTATGTAAATAATATGTAATCACAATCAAATTAAATTGTTTTTCCGTATGATACTGGTATTTAGAAGTTTATGAAATTAATGTTTACTTTTTCATTGATCAGCTGATTAAGATCAGAATAGTGAATATCAAATTGATATGATGTGAATAATAATCCAATGAGATATATTGTTTTATTATTTACCTTTGATATTGTAATCAGAATATGAAGAACTAAATTTGATCAGCTTTTGATTATAATGAATTTTCTGCCATTATCTATTGATCCATGAGATAATTCATTGATTTAGAGTTTAATTTTCATGAGTAAACGATAAATCCATTGGTAAATATTTTTCATGAACTTTGAAAAACAATTGAAACATCATATTGAAATTTTCAAGCATTTCATTCAATAGATTCTGAGCTAGTTAATATCTAATTGGAGTAGATATTAAAATTTGTATCTCTGTGAATGTGATATTTTCTAAAATTATTGGTCAAGCTTCAAGTCCAAATCATTAAGTAGTAGTGAAAGTACACAAGATAGCGCAGTCATTCACCCCATGTGACACAGCATTTAATAGATAATTTTTGACAATTAAATTAGAGTAATTATTAATACCATGTGACACATCATTCGAATGGTAATTTAATGGAGATTTTTTTGATTGATTTATTTAATTGATTTATTGATAATATATTTTTCCCCTTTAACCAAAACCTTTTATTGTTACCTTTTCTCAATTAAAATGAATATAATGATTAATTTCGTTCCCAAAAGTTAACTAATTCATCATCTAATCTAAAAGCATCAAAATAACGGTGATTATTATGAATTTCTCGAAGCGCTAAAGTGACTCTCAGTAGCCTGGGATAGCGGTTTGACAATTCAACGAGAGATAAAAGAAATCGAACATAAGCTGGAGTATATGATATTCGGCCTCTCATTCGATCTGTCCACTGGGCGATTGTTTCATTTGTCTGGGATATGTCCATACTTATAAAACGTCCTAATCTTACGGCCAATATAATGGGTTGACGGTTGTTTCTCCTTCACAATTGACGGAAAACACTTCTTGCCTCTTCAATGTTGCAATCGCAGAAACTGGAGCACACCAAGGACATATTTCGACGCATTCTATCGAAGAATTCTCTCGCTCTTGACAAATACCTGACTTCTGGGTCTTCATTTTCATCTGAACTTTCACCTGTGCTTACCAACTCTTCTCTTTCACTGTGACTGGAATTTTGGGGATCATGTTGAGGTAAAGGGTTAATAAGTGGGTCAATTGATGAAGACACAGTATTATCCTGTAAATCACTGTCCGGCTCCTGTTCTTCGGGATTATCATCACCACGTAACGGGATTAAATGGGCACCATTAGCAGGGTCGATAAAAAGACGTCTTTCAGCCATAGTTGTTCGACCAAATCCAGTGAACAAGCGATGACAATTGGTGATGATGAAGCGCCGGGCATTAGCATTTTCTCTGGCAACCATTAGAAAAGACGGTAGAAAGGAAGCAATCAGCATGGCAGAGAATGGTGTAAGGTTGACACGGGTCATATTTGTAATTAGAGTAAAGGTGAAAATAATTAACAAAGAAACTTTTATAACGGTAAACAAAACAGAACGATGTAAAATTCAAACTTTTAGACTCCGCCCACCTGCGTTTTAGGTGCGTTGAATCTGCCAACATGTCAGTTTTGTATTCGTTATATACTGGTACTGGTTTGGGTCAAAAATTTTTAAAAATATACATGACGTTTATATACATTGTCTCTGTAAAAAAATTACATAGAGAAGGACTTTTTTTCTAACTTTGTCAAAATCGTCATTTCTCAACCGATTTGACAGTGTTGTATATGTCCTGACTCAGTTTTTTACGAGGATTCCAAAAATATCCTCCGCGTAAATTTATCTCATTCCGTTCGAAAGATACGAAAATTGACTATGGAGCACAAAGTCAACTTTGTCATTCTTGGTCCAATTGTGAAAAGAAGACTACCGTTGGATTCGTCTTGACGAGACGAGTTCAAAAATGTCTAAGATATCCATGTAACTCTAACCGTTCAAAAAATAGCAAAATTGACTTTTGATCACTAAAAATCACTCATTTTATCATTAATTGTTACCAATAGGTGGCAGCAGCTACTACAGCTAGTATGTGAAATATTAATATAATATTAAATCCTTTATTTCTTATCCGATTTGAAAACAGATTTCACCGTTCAATTTGTCTTTTAATGGCCATGCAGAATATGTACTCAAAATTACTCTACGATAAAAAATAACAAAGTTACCCACATGGGTCATTTTAAAACTGAAAATAACAGTTTATGTATTTAATACAGAGAGCCAATGTCATTCTTCATATGTTTTTCCATGTCATTATAATCAACTTTTTACGCTCTTTCAGCCAATATACAACACGTCTAAATCGGAGAATTTTTCGAAGGGGGGCATGAGTGACCCTATTGAAAACTTTGAAAATTCCTACGACGTAAACTATTATGACTTAACCAACATGCGATAGGAATTCTTGACCGGCTTAAAATTCTCTACAAGATGTGATAGATGATATAACCACTAACACTTTACCAATAGTCCGTTATCGTCTGTTATCACTTTTCAATGATTTCTGCCCTTAATCATAGAAATATTCAATTTTCACTGAAAAACATAGTGTTCAACGGATCAACAGACTACTCTGAATCATTGTATGATAAATTAAACAAAATTGATAACCTGACCTACTTTCCCATTTCCGTAACATGGAGGATTGTTGTAAAAGCATAAAGTTAATTGATATTGAAGGAAACTCTGATTATTTATTGCTCTCGCTCCATTTTCAAAACAAGGAAAAGACTAATGAAAGTAGTTGTTGACCTCCTCAGTCACTTATCAGCTCAAAAAGTCAATTAAGATCAAGGAAAAACTTTAAACAATTCATGTTTGACAGTTTTAGGATATTGATGATTTATGAATGGTCAAAAGTTCAAAAAGTCAAGGATTATTTGATCATCAATCAAATCTTACATCACGATTTCAATTAATTTAGTAAAGTAAAGGCTGAATTTAATTAATTTCTTTTATTTAAAACTTCCTTCAATCATAATTGTAGCTTTAACGATACAAAAATTTTAATTATTTCCTCAAACGAAAGTATAAAAACAAAGCAAGAAAGAGAGTAAATTATCAGTTCATTTCCAGTCTTCACACCATTCACTTCAACATTATTTGGCCAGCTCATCATCATCATCAGTCTTATCTTCTGTTATATTTTTATTTACTGTTTTTTTTCTATTCACCTGTTGATTCATTAATTTTTATCAGTTTTCTTTTGGTCTTTGAAATCTTGTTGGAATCTTTCTGGAATCTTGTTTGAGTCTCTTGGTTATCTTGGTTATCTCGGTTATCTTGGTCATCTTATTCAAATTGGTCTTATTTCTATCCTGTTCTTCCTATTTGGATTTTGGTTCTCTTTCATTTTGGTTTGGTCACTGGTACTTCATCGTCTTAGCCAACCAATTTTTTTTTTGTTTTCCTTGGTCCCATGACAGTTTAGATTTTTTCTCCTTGTTTCATTTTAATTCTTTTCTCATTTTATTAATCATCTTTGTTTATTTTACATCACACAGGTAAATAACATGTTTAAAGCCTTCCCAATGTCACCTCTTAAGCTTAAAATTGTGAAAGAATCAGATATTGATTCTGAAGCTATTGAAGATCAACAAGATGATGAACCAATCAATCTTGCTGATTACCGTTTCAAAATAACAGACTTTTTCGCCATTTATCAGCATTTCGATGCTGAATGGCAGAAAAAGCTGTTAAGCACAATAACTTCAATTGATTATGAACATTGGTTTTTCATAATCAATAATCGTCAATTCTACAATTTTTGTCATGAATATGACCCTTTGTTCTATGATTATATTGACATTTCCTACACAAAATATTATTAATAAACTTACATTTTGTTTTTATTTTCTTTTGTTTGTTTTTTTTTACTTAAGGTAAGATGAAAATAATTTCGGAAACAGTTTCTTCCACTCCTTTTATTTCGGGTTCAATAATTCCATCGAAGGTTCGTCATTTGAAAAAATTAAAGTGAATAAACTTGAGTCTCAAATGAAGCGCTACCTTTCAATTCCCATAAATGATTGTTGTCCAACGGAAAACACTGGTTCTGTTTGTTTAGCTTCATCACTTGTTAAACTTTTGAAAAAGATACACAAAAGAATGGAGCTCAAAGCAATTCATTGTAACCGGTGCTCTAAAAACAAAATATTATCACTTGATGATAGTAGAAAAATTCAGTGTAAAATCAACCATGGAAAATATATTAACCTTTGTATCTTTGCTTCAACTTTCAAGTGTCCTAGGGTCAGTCAAGCTGAATCTTGGTTGATCAAGTGTCGATATTTGAGACACAAAATGAAGAAATGTGTTGACCATCGACTGTATACATTGAACCTGAAAAAAGAAATAGAATTGAAAAGAATTCTATTAAATAAAATATTGTTATAATTTAATATTTTTTTCTTTTTCATTTTAGGAAATAAAGGTAATGTTTTCACCAATATTTGATGTTTGGGACTGTCCCACTATAAGCTTCCTAGAAAAATATCTTTGTATGAAACAAGAAAAAACAGATATTCATCATGTCCATGGGCTCAAGGTAGATGGACAACAGCAATTCAAAATGGTTTTTC